AAGACTTCAACCTCCTTCCATTCGACTCTTATGTAACAGTCTTACTAGACATAGCTCTTAAGTAGCATTTGTGTCTCTCTGCTGCCCCCAGGTGGCTGACGGCACGCCCTGCAGCCCAGACTCCACCTCAGTCTGTGTTCATGGCCAGTGTGTCAAGGCAGGATGTGATCGCCTCATCGGCTCCAACCGGCGCTTTGATAAGTGCGGTGTGTGTGGAGGAGACGGCTCTACCTGCAAGAAATTGTCTGGTTCTCTGGAGCGTGCCAGGTACATATCTAACTGTCTTTTCCTCATCTACAAATATACTGTCCGGTAATATACACTGACATAATATAGTATGATCAGTTTTATGACTGAGTCTGACCTCCGTGTGTCTCTGTTTTTAGGCCTGGTTACCAGGATGTTGTCACCATCCCTGCTGGTGCCACCCACCTGGACGTCAAGCAGCGTGCCCCAGGCAATGGTCGTCATGATAACAGCTACTTGGCAGTGCGTCGCCAGGATGGAACCTATCTGTTAAATGGCGATTACAAGCTGATGACCATGGAGACCGACATCGCCTTGCGAGGGGCACTGTTGCGATATAGCGGCTCCTCCGCCACCCTGGAGCGCATCCGGAGCTTCACCCCGCTCCCCGAGCCCATCACCATCCAGGTGCTGTCCGTGGGGGAGGCCCCGAGGCCCCGGGTTAAGTACAGCTATTTTGCCCCGAGACCCAACAATGCTGCTTCAGTCTCCAACAGCAATGGAGGCCGCCGCCATTCCATCAATGCCATCAGGGAGGTGGGTGGAGCCGAGTGGACCCTGAGGGAGTGGGGTCCGTGCTCCCAGACCTGTGGCGGAGGTGTGCAGCAGAGAGAGGTGGTGTGTCTAGATCCCCATGGTCGTCCCTCCAGAGATTGCCCGGAGGAGCTGCGCCCCTTGGCCTCTCGGTCCTGCGGCACCCAGTCCTGTCCCTTCTGGCTTCTCGGAGAATGGTCGGTATGCTCCAAGACCTGCGGCCGAGGCTTCCGCAAACGCCAACTGCGCTGCATCGGCCACGACGCTCGCACGCTAACCCATGACAGCTGTGACTCCAAAGACCGGCCGCGACCTCTGCTGGAACTGTGCAATCAGAGTGCCTGTTAAGGAGTGCTCTCCAATCAAGCCTCCTTTCATACGCCCAGCTCTCTGAAAGACACCAGATAGAAACTCTGACCTTCACAGCCTCCTTTTTTCACACGGACAAACTAAAGAGGCAGATGAATGTTTACATCCAGAGCAAGAGTGGCTTTCATGGGTTCCAGGTAGTCTAAAAGTCCCTTGATGGGTCCAACACGACTGCCTCAATAAAGGCCAATTTGTACCCATTCCCTCCATCCATTTTGGGGCCAGACGGCAGTCCACAGTGGCACTGCCTCCTGGTGGAAGCAATAAAGACTGATTACAGCTTGCTGCCTGTCTGGCATCAGCGCAACAGTGGCACATTATGCCTCCCATCAGGGGAAAGAGAGAAAGCATGGACATTCCTGATTTCCTAAAGGAGCATGCTGGTTACTGTGCCAATGTCACGCTTACGTGTGTGTGCGTGAGTGAGTGTGAGACTGTGTGTGTGTATGCGTGTGTGTGTGTGTGTGTGTTACATTTTTAATGCTTGTATTTGATGTTTGTCCAAGCTGGGCTGGACAGACACATAAGGGGTTGGGGTCGGGGATGTTATTGCAGAGTATATAAAGAAACTGAAAAATGAAAGAGATTAGCTCATATTCTACTTACTCGCCCCATCAGGTATGGAAATAAAGATAGCTAATAGTCATAGTGTTTATGTTCAAGCCAGTTTATTTATCACAAACCTGTAGCACTTCGTCTTTGTTTTTTGCCAGCGGCACATTGTAATACCCAGTTGTCTCTAAATGCCTCAGTACGCTGTACTTTGTCCTTTAGCCATATCTTGCCCTCGTCTACACAGCCTTCAATGAGGGAACTCTTCAAAGACCAAAGAGGAGTGTCTGTGTGAGTGAGTGAGTGAGTGAGTGAGTGAGTGAGTGTGTGTTTGTGTGTGGAGATCTAAAGAGGGACTTGTCTCCTGCTACTACTTCATAAGTAAGTCTCTCCTGCCTTCTGCGAAGGCACCTTGGTTTTTTTTCTATCAAGTCTTTTCCTTTTGTACAGAATATCCAAACATTATTTATTTTTGTACAGCCTGTTAAATATAATCATGTGGCTTTTTTAATATTATTTTTTATTTGTTATTGAGATCACAGAAGGGAGTAGAATATATAGAGTATTTATACAGTGTTATATATATATATATATATATGGTCCTAGGTTCATGAATAAAGTATCACATTGACTTGTGAAGCTATTGTCTCCAGAGTGGTTTGTCTGTTTGACGTTGGAAGGTGCACTGATTTCCACTCTCGCACACTTTATTTTAATCCACCAATTGCTGCACGCAGCTAGGCTACCTGTTCGACCAGAGACGGAATCACATTTCACCAGCTGTCGAGCCCTTTTCATTGGTGAGCCTGCCAATCGAAACCCACTAGAAGAGAGTTTGTGAACATGTCCAAGGCTGCCAAATGTCAGAATCCTGTCTAGCATCTATTGGTAGAGGACCCACGAGGCCATGTAGTCCAGATCGGACAAACCAAACCCTGGCTCTGGATAGCCTCTTTAGTTCTCCTACATGCTTCCCACATGGTTGAAGTTTCAGTTGGTTGCAATCTAAAGCCTCACCGCTAGATGCCGCCGGATCCCCCATAGTGGACCATAAATATAGTTTTGGTGGCCTACCCAATATGTGAAAACATTTTTGCATTTCAGGTTTCGACCACTAGATGGGAGTATTTCAGCATGTCACCTAATTTGATTCCCCAATCCCTCCACAGTGTCCAAACATTGCAGGGATAGGGCAGTCTAGTCATGGCCGGTGTTGTGTCGAATACTGTTTCCCCCTCCTAAACCTAAACCAACCCTTATCCGTATATAACCAATCAGACTGATGAACAACTGCAACTGCAAAGCTACACTAATACATGATTTCTGATACGACAAACAAGCACCGAGTCATTGTAACGTAGAGCTACAATATGTCAGATATTTTAGGTGATGAATCGTTGCAGAAAGATGTAGAATTCACCGTCTTTCCTTTAGCCTGATAACGCAGAAATTACCTTTAGAAAAGTAGTGATGTATTTTCACCTCTTCTGGAGTCAGGCATCTCCCTGAACTTTCTGAACCCCAGGCGGGACCAGAAAATACCTCAGCACCGTCACTAAAATCTGAAGCCCGTGTGTCTCTTCCTGTTGGGCCCTGAGGAAGCTGATCTCCCGCCTTGAAAGGCTCCCACTGTAGCACAAAGGAAATCATTATCCTGTAATTATGGATGGTTAAAAGAGGAAGATTGGCCATCTCTGTAATCTGTGTAATGGTATAATGTGTCACCGGTTAGCCTAAACAACTGGCATGGACGAGGATGTGCGCTGCACGTTTTTCTGACTTTGCCATTGACAAAGAAAAAACACACACTGGCAGGGAGATGTCAGCATTTATACATATACGCCTGCGATGAAACTTTCTTATACCTGTTTGTTTGTTTTTCCTGTCTCAGCATCACATCACGTGCAGCTGAAAAGGAACATCTGGAAGGCATTATGAATCACGGCTGCTCAATGTGGGTGGCATTTCAGAGAGCTAAATTATCTTCATCCTTTTTGCCACCCTTGGCGTCCCATAGAGGTTTGTTGAAAAAGAAAAGAAACAGCATTCATATCTTTGACTCGAACAAATATGGTTGAAAAATATCTTTAATGTGTGATCATTGTGTCAGAGCCCATGTTATGCTTGAATGAGCACCATCTCTTGTAAGAGGGACTTTTTACGGTGGCTAATGTTCACAGCCTACCAGGAGCCTTTTCAGAGCAGTAACTTCACTTTTTAATTGTCAGTTTTATGACTGTATTTAAATCCCTACAGGTTAGCACAAGTGGCGTTTTTATTATTCCCAGCACAGAGGGAGGTGTGTGGTGGTCTGCCCCCGTCCAACTGTGCAACTTTGGTGTCCCCCCCCTCACTTGCACATTGCATAAAACTTGTTTGTTCCCAAACATGGCTGATTACTCTTTCTCCCCCATCTATGGGGTGACGCTCAAAGCAAAGCTCTAACCTGCATAAGGGCCTCTGGCAAAATGACTTTAATCTTCTAATCAGGTGTGTGTCCTTGGTGTTGTTTTTGGACATGACACCTGTGTGTTAATTGGAACAAGTTTTCACCTCACCGCATCCCTGACACAATGGCTCTGGGACAGATTTAAACCTTTTACCAGGAAAGTAGGGCGGCTCGTTTTCGTTCAGTCCCTGGAAAATAGCCGACGTGTCGGCACACAGGTGTGAAGCGACCCGCTGCGCCGCCCCGGGCTCATCACAGTCCGGTTCCTCTCTCATCTCTATGGAGGTCGTGATGTGACAGCAGCACGCGAAGCAGCGGGGGGGGGGGGGGGCTCGCGCACATTAAACACACGCACGGGCTCTTATCTAAACTTTTATAATCATTAATTTGTAAAGCAATTCATCAATTTATCTGAATTATTTCAAAATAATTGCCAATTAGAGTCTTATTCTGAAAATATCGCTCAGAAGTCTTTTATTCCATACTGTGGCTGACTTCATACTGGTTTTTGTCTCTCTCTCTCTCTCTCTCTCTCTCTCTCTCTCTCTCTCTCTTTCAGCGTAAACCTGAGGGGGGGGGGGAGTGGAATAAAAAGCCTCAGCAGTCAGTCAGAGAGGTGTGGGAACAGGACGGAACAGCGGCAGGAAAGACGCGCACACGTGGAGGGAGAAACTGAGGAAATTTGAAATAACCCGAAATCATAAGCAGCAGTCGGTTCATGTCATTAGTGGGTGGCACAGCAATGCTCCCGGAGGAGCCAAATAGGTGACTGGCTTTTTGTTAGCTTCTGCCATTGATTTATAAAATAAAAGCAGAACCCGGAAAGTGGGCGCACGGGGAGAGAAGGGTCATGGAAAACCTCTGGAGGACGAGGGCGCAGGCGGTGCGATGGAAGTTGCTGAGGAACTCGCTGCTGCTTTGTTTACTCACCGGTGAGTTTCACAATCAGTTCACTATTCCACCTTTCCGAGCAGCCACATGTTTATAATGCATTCTTTATGTTGTATAAATGACGTGACTCCTCCAGATGTGCTGCTGCGGGAGTGTTGGGGAAGTCAAGAAAATCCCCTTTTTCAGTTCAGTTTAGCGTTTTCCTCCAAATTAAGCACAGATCAAACATGAAAAAGTTTTAATCCGAACCAAATCTGCGGTAGTGTCGTGGAGGGGGGAGGAGTAGCTATGTGTGTGTGTGTGTGTGTGTGTGTGTGTGTGTTAGATAAGGGGTGGGGGTGGAAGGACTAGTGCAATTGTCTCCAAGCGTGTGGAGAGACAGGAGCCAGGACCCCCGAGGACCACCCATGCAGAGCCAGAGGTCTGCTGGTGGGACCTCCTGTGGGCATTTACATGGAAATATATCAGCTTTTCTGCAGGGGAAAGGTGGGTTCAGTTAGGCCTCCAATACAAAGGGAACATCCGTTGAAACTCACGTTGATCAGAAACAAAGACATTTTCTGTCTTTTGCAACAACAACAAACAATGTGAATTTAGATTTGATAGACTTTTCTGCAGTTTAAAGGTGTGCACAGTCAGTTTTCTCCACTGCATCCCCACTTCACATACGACTTTTGTTGTTGAGAAAAGCATCCTCCTGCACTAATTAAAAGGCAGGACTCCTCTACCACTAAGTCTGGAAACGTGCATATATGCCTCCAGGCGCATGTCATTCGAGTGTGAGTGACTGCTGAGGGAAAGCAGATCTTCAGCAAAGGCACACACACACACACACACACGCACAGAGCTTGTTTTCTTTGCTGTGTCTTTTATTTTGTAGTGCACGCTCTGGATTGCAAAAGAGTCCGCGGGAAAATAAAAAAGGCAGCAGGTTGAGACGAGTGCACAGAGAGGCCCAGCTGTGTGTATATGCTTTTGAATATGGAGGCTTTTATGGAAGAGCAGAATGTGGTGGGGGTGGTGGTAATGATTATCACACACATACAAAAGCATGTAACAGATCCTGCAAATGCCACGTGTGCTCCGAGCAGGAACAAGACGCAGACACGCTGAGTCCCATATTACTGACCTCCCACTCGAGGAGTAACTAATTCAGTTGCTGGGTCACTGTGGCTCACGAGTCTGTGTCCCATCATGCACAGCTTTCTGTCTCTGATCACCGTTTTAGAGTAGCCTCCATCTACTTGAAAGGGGCTCGTTGTGAAGTTTGGGGATTCACAAGAGGCGCAGATTTATCCAGGCGCAGATCCAGACTTATTATTTCTTCGCATGGGTTGAACTCCAAAAGTGCTGAGTCCTACACCTCCCATAATGCAGCTCTGTCTGACATGGGTCAAGGTTATTGTCTCAGACTTCGGGAGTGTATAGTCCTCCGAATGAGGTATAAACATACCCGTGTGTGTAAATGTTGGACTGCCCCTTTAAACCTCAGTGAAAGACATCCTTTCAAACTTATTTAATTGATTTGATCCTCCAAAAGTCTACTAGAAGCATCTCTTTGTCCTTGTTAGGGTTGCAACCAATTACAAGTTATTATTATTTTAACGTTTCGCCCAAAATATCCTCCTGACAAAACAAACCGACAAACGAGCGGAGGGGAAACAGAACTGTGCCGCTTTTTGCATTGCTATTTCCGCCAAAAAAAATTCCCAAAAAAGAGAACTAAATGCCGTGCGGTCATAATGTGCTAATTTTTTCAGGCCGTGTCATCGACTCGTCTGTCAGTTTGCAGCCTACAGCGCTTGGTTCAGCCGGTCGGCCATGCGCACTGATTTGCTGCCCCAGTCAGCCTGCAAATGGAGAAAATAAATCAAGCACGTCAACCATTACCTGTGTGAAATGTTGCATGCCTGTCACATGGCAACGGGGGTTTGATGGCTTCTTTTATTTTTTAAAGCGAAGAGTGTTTTTTTCCAGTTCTCTGAGTGCATAATAAATGGCCTGTCCTCGCGCTTTTAAAACCGGCCTTTGAAGGTATAATTATAGGCTGAGGTTGTGTGCTTTTGAGTTTAGTTCATAAAAAAGGTATAGTTAATTTGTCATCAAGGAAAAGGTTGAAACATCCCAGATGAAAAGACGAGCTTCTTTTTATTACAAGTGGACACTTACGACTTCTTTTAATTTTATTATTCTACCAGCATTCGGGGAATTGCCGGTGATTTCCGGTTACACAAAATTCGACACCGTGCATTAGCGGCTTCTAAAAGGGTGTGTGTGTGTGTGTGTGTGTGTGTGTGTGTGTTGCAGGCAGCAGTGAAGCCCAGTGTGAAGGCTGCATGGAGTACTGCTGCAATGGATCGCCGCCTTTCTGCTGCTCCTACTACGCCTACGTGGGGGATGTCCTGTCGTGAGTCAACACACACACACCACACACGCCACACACACACACACACACACACCTAAAGGTTTCGTGCAGTTCTGGCTCGAGTGAGACATAAAGACTCAGACACACACCAGCTGTTTTTAAACATGCTAGAAGACCCTTCAGAGGATCTCACCTCTGACCTTTGCCTGCGCTGATTCAGCACAGCTGCTTAAACCACATCTCAGACGTCTCTTTCAAGATAAGGATTTTCAAAATAGTAAAAACAGGAGGGGGGGGGGTCAGAGTTTGATGAGTGTTTTATCTACTTTGCCTGTTAATGATGAGTGTTTTATCTACAGACTCCTCTGCAGTAAACACACACACCAATGCTCACACATGACACACAGCTGAGTCAGATGCTATAGTCCATCTCCATGGCAGGAACTTAGAAGCATTGGTCGCATGTCTGTTTGAGTCCTCTCACACTCGGGTGGCTCACAGTTTTTTTTGTGTGTGTGTGTGTGTGTTTGTGTGTTCCAGGGGCACGGCCATCTCCGGCATCGTGTTCGGCGTGGTGTTTCTGATGGGGGCGGTGGCGGCCCTGATCCTGTGCGTGTGCATGTGCATGAAGGAAGGACGGGGCGCGCGGGTCGGCGTGTTCAGCACCTCCTACATCAACACCGTGACCCAGGGCTACCCAGGTCAGTCTGCAGGGGTCACACGCACACAAACACACACTTTTAAAAAGATCTGGATGAGCCACAAGGATTTATTTCAATAGTTACACCTTTTTAAATATAGGATCACTACACAGATAGTGGCCCCATCATGATGATTAACCAGAGTGATCCATTTCGCTTTGTGACACCTCATCTCCCGTCCTCAGGCGACCAGATATGAAAAGCAAACAGCAGAAGGGTGTGTGCCGTGTCACTGGATCCACCTCGGCCTCGAGCACAATTCCTGTCGAGCAACACAAAGAGAGCGATGATTCTTTTCAGAATTTAAAAAAAAAAAAAAAAGCCTTCACACCGCTCCGTTACAGCATACGCCCCAAATTTTCCATCAGCATCCATCTTGCCCCCCACACACTTTCACCGCTTCCCGCCTGTGACACCCTGTTCCCGCTCCAAAAGGGAGCAAACCGGCGACAATGTCCCCGCGTTGTACTTCTTCGGTACATCACAGTGTGTCACTCTGTTACTCCTCCAGCTCCAGGAATATACTGTTGTTGTTGTTGTTGTTTTTTGGCCGCTCATCATTTATTCATCATGTTTCGGTCCCCCCCTGTGTATTGCCTTCATGCTACGCTGGACCGGCGCTCTTCGCTCTGCCCTGCAGCTCTGATCATGTTTCGTAAACGCGGCGCTCAAACGCACAAAGCCATGCAATATGAGCGCATGCATGCAGCTACAGTGATATGAATTATTTGTCCTGATATAGCATGTGCGGCGCTATTGTTTTCTTCTGCCACAAAGATGAGGTAATCTATATTAGTATATAACTCTGATTAATGCTTCTCTGCATAGTTTTATTTATGTAATGGTACTTTTTTAAAGGTATAGGATATTCATCTAGGTGCTGTTGTCTCATCTTGCAAGGTCTCATCCTGAGCTTCACAACAGCTTTATAGGGAGAAACAGCTCCTCCTTTAAGATGTTAGACGGTAGGTTATTAATAATATTAGTGTCATAAATGTGAGGTTTTGCTGATGCAACGCTTTGGTTCGGAGTCGATTTTGACTAACGCCATTCATCTTTTCTTTCATCTCTGCTGCTCTGATGTCTCAGTGAATAATGGAAGTTCCCCCGGTGAGACTGATGCATTGTGTTCAAGCAAAGGACTTTTTGGCTGCCATATTTTTGATCTTTTAATAATCAAAGTCTCTTCTACCAGAAGGTGCAGTTTCTCGGTTTAACCACAAGAGGGTGCAACAGTCCCATCAAACTCCTTGTAAAATGGGGGCCGGTTTCCTCCCTCGCCTTTTTGTAATTATGGAGGAACTAAATGCTTTCTACCTGCTGAACTTTATTCACGTCTCTTTCTCGACCTCAGGTCCTCCACCTCCATACACCTACGACGACGAGATGTACCCTCCGTCGCTGCACCCCCCGCCCTACACCCCAACTCGGCCTCGGCCGGCCAACTGCTCGCCGCCTCCTCCGTACCCCGGCTGCACCCGCAAGTGAACCCCTGCAGCACGGATCATCTACCGGCCAGCTCAGAGGAAGCTCTCATGGCTGTGCATCTCTGGCCTCCAACGGATGGGGGTGGGGGTCAGGGGGGTCAGGGGGGTTAAAGACAATTTCAGGGTGGCCCGGTGCAATATTGTTTAGCAAGGCAGAAAATCCCAGCTACAGGCCTGCAAGGTGTGTAAATGTCCTGCTGGAGTCTGTGCACATCAAAGGCCACTTTGACGGAGGTTGAAGACTACTTTTGTCAGCACGGGAGGGGAACCTCACGCCACCGGAGGACAAAAGTCTTTCCAGGACACACTGTGGACTCTGCTTTTATGGACTTGATTCATGTCTGAGGTGGAAGTTAATGATTAAAGCTGTTTCAAACCATTCAGATGTGGACCTGTAGTGAGCGGACACAAAGACTTGGACATAATGCCTTTGAACTGACTTTAAAAGGGACTGGGTTGTTACAGTCTTGTTGTGTTTTTTTTTTAATTGCCTTACTTGAGAAAAATGAAAACTGAAGATGGGGGGGTCACATCATGTGCATTTATTTTTTTTTTGCCTTTGCTAGATTCTCCAATTGTGAAGCAATCATTATTTTTAATTTCAGTTTTAGGCTAATTAAGGTTTGTAATTAGAAGGGAACTGACCTCACTGTGCTACTGTTACATGACTGTGAATGACGGAAAGGATTTAGCTGTAATATTTGTCTGGTTCATTCTTTAATTTTCTAATGGCTTTGTTGTAAATAAAAGATGTGATTAAAATGTGTTTTTTTTTTTTGTAAGTAATGACGTCTACGGTCTCCATTTTTTCATATGAACGATCAATAATGAGCGCGCCTGTGTGCATGTGTGCACGTGCGTTGGCCATATGGGGGAGGGAGGGGGGTCTGTGCATAAAAACTGGAATGCGCGCGAGGCGGTTTATGTAGTCTACATGCGCGTGAGTCAGATAAGAGTCCCAGAGCTCACATAAGAGACTAAATGTGTGCACGTGCGTCAGAAAGATAACGCGTGTGAGGGATAGAAGGTGTATGCGCATATACTGTGTGCGCGCACGCGCGTGTGTGTGTGTGTGTGTTCTAATCCCACTCCGCCGTGGTCAGGTGATCAGTTGCTGAGCAGCTGTGCAGCCTCGGTGTCGCTCACAATCACACAACGGGAGTCACCGGCGCCGAACGCACACGCTTCTCACCCGACGCTTAACGTTTTGAGACCGTCCGGAGAAACGCTGCCTTCAGGAGCGTCGTGACAGCGAACCGACATGGGGGACCGAGTAGCTTTACTGCTGCTGGCTGTGGCGGCTTCGGCTCTGGCTGCAGAGGTAAGAAAACCCCGTTCTTTTTTTTTGTGCGAGATGTGGAGAAGTATTTTCACCATATTGTGTCTGTCAGCTGCGTCAAGCTGGATAGAGTTAGCCGCAGCTAGACCGGAAGCGAGGCGGTCCTACCACCAGAGCTAAAGTTTAGGATGTGTTGAAGGGGGAGGAGGGGATTATCACATTCAATAACTGAATGATGGAAGGATCATTTATCGTCATTCTACTACACAGACTTATATACAGCTAATTCATTCTACATTAAATAAGAAAATAAAAGCACAGCCATACACTGTAACGACCCAGTCCGTATTCTGCGTTATGTCTTTGTGTCCACCACTTAATTTCCCTGCAAAACAGACACGAACCAGGATCAGTGTAATATAATACATTGTTTACTTGGCTACTTTACTTTAAGTGGCCTATTGTATTAATAAATAGTTTTATGTTGAAGGTTCAAACCGGAAGTGTTGCGTTAAAGCGTGGGTGGTTTATTGTGAGTTATTGGATATTTCTAAACCGCTCACTGTGTTTTACAACAGCAAAAAACAAACATTTAGGTATTTTGTATTCTGTTTTTATTTGTGATCAACCCCCCTATAAGTACGCGATAAGGACAAATAAACTTGTATTTGTTGTTCCGATGCTCCGTACAGGCGAAGTCTCCCTTTAAGCCTGTTGTGGCTGATTTATAGAGGCTGTGTAACAATGTAGCAATGACGAGAACGTCCGACACATGTGATCCACAGCTGGACCCGTAATGTCTCCTTTGCCTTTGTTTGATACATTGACGCGAGTAGCTTTTTCCTCCGATTTAAAACGCGTTACAAACAAGTAATCAGTGTTTGTAAACAAATTACTGTACCCGAGTAGCACTGCGCAAATGAGTCTCAGCGCTGTCGTCATAAAACGATTATTTACTGGTCATTTTGGGCTCATTTAATGCCATTTAAAGTCATTACAGGGAGTACATGAAAAGCGTATTGTGTCGTTTTCCGTATCCCGAGGGCTGATTTTAAGGGAGTGGGCGTGTTTTGGGAATAAAAATAAGTCAAAAAGACGCCTCGTTGCTTCACAATGAAGACCTGACGCCGGATTGTGGCTTTTTAACGGCGCAAATAAACCCGTGAAGATGACAGCATCCTCTAGAAGAAACATTGTGAACGCTCTCCGTCATATTTCAGTCAGATGGTAGAGGATAGAGAAGTAAGATGGCGGCGGTGCACTGCAGCATTTAGCGAGGGTCAGGAAACTGGGAAGCCAACAGGAGCTTTGATTCTCATTGTTTGCCTTTTAAGCTGCTTTTTCTAACCCATCACGGGGTTTTCTGTGACAATAGTCGTTATTATACACGAGATATTCTTTATTAATATCTATACAGCGGACGTAGTTTCACTAAATCACTGCTCATCCTTTTTTTTTTTTTTTTTTTTTTCCAAGCGTCTCTGCCAAGAAACGGCTTTGTGCTAAAATAGCTGTTTCTAACACGCCTGGGACTTGATCTTGTAGTGATATGACACTGAAATAAATAATAATTCATCAAATTCAGGCATTTTCAGCACACGTGTTTGTAGAAATGTCATGTTCTTGATGCTGTAACAGTTTTACCCCCCCCCCCCATTTTATTAAAGATAAACTTTATTTCTGGAAAACACCATTTGAAACACGGGGATGTCCCCGACTGAGACTGTTTCTCTCTCCATCTGTCCGCCTCCGATGTGAGAGAAATGACACATTCCTGTAACCACATTGTTTCAGATGGGAGCAGCTCTACATTGTCCGTTGGATCTCCGGGCAGTTACAATCATAGTGCGTGTGTACACCATAAATGACTTGTAATCGATCGATAGTGCCAAACAATGGCTGTTATTCTCCATTCGGGCCTCTTGTTTTTGCTGTCTCGGCCATTTCTGCTCATTTCTCCTCCGGATGAATCAGGTGTAATGTGGCGGCAGGCGTTCATTGTACACGGCTTTTAATCAGTGGACTCTGAATGAATAGTTTGGGCTGTTCATCAAGCAGAGCTGTGGCTTTGCTCGTAATCCGTCCCTTTGCTTACTGGAGGAGTGTTTACTTTACAAACGTCAAAGGGCAGGAGTGATGAAATGAGATGGAACAGTAAACGATGTAAGCAAGATTAAATCGGACTTGATAATGAGACGGTTTCTTCTTTAATATCTTGTTGGGGCTTGTTTATAGCCTCCATGGCCGCGCCACATCAAACACACAGCTCGCAGGAAGCTGCCCCCCCCCCCTGACGGTGTGTGGAGCGTGGGAGTTGGATGCCAGCCTTTGTGTATTTGTGAATCCTTGGGAAATGGCTCTTGGATGGGTGCAGGCAGTCTGTTTGTGTGCACACTGCAGTCTTTCAGCCCCGGGCCCGGACCAGCCTGCTCCCCTTATTAGCAGGTTTAATGCCATTATGCCTGTTGGCCGCCGCCAGTGTTTCCCTCTGGCACCTTCTCACGCTGCAGTTTTTTTATGCTATCAAGCTCAAGAGTGGCTCCTTTTGGACATGCATGTGGTACCATATCCAGACCTCAAACAATCAATGAATTGATTTGTCGCTGGACAGGAAATCAACGGCACCATTTGGATGATTGGTTAATGATTTCGGTTATTTTTCTTCAAGCAACAATGGCTAAAATTCAGTGGCTTCTCAAATGTGTTTTAGTTGGTCGGTGGGACAAAACAAACGCATTTCAAGTCACAAAAAGCAATTCTGATAATTGAAGATTCATTTAAGTCAATTTAAAGTGTGCAAAATTGCCAAACTTGCTGGTTTCCGATTCTAAAATGAGGTCATTTTCCCTCTTGTTACCCAAGGGTGAATTGAATTTTTGGGTTCTGGACTGCTGTTTGGACAAAATGAGCAATTTAAACACGTCCCCTTTGCTCTCAGAACTCGACAAACTATAGATCTTTTAAAACGGGACAAATAAATCAATGTGGGAGAAAGAATCAGCAGCTGCAGAAAAACAGGCACCAGTCCTACTGGTCTCTGTGGTTCTATCAGTGAGTCATCCTCCATGTGCCCGTCTCTCCTCGTCTCAGTAAACAGTGGACATTGTCACGTGGCAGGACTGGATGTCCTCTTATTTAATGAGACATGAAAGGAGTTTGTCTCCAGCGCTCCCTGGCTTTTGTCTCAAAAAAAAAAACAACAATCCTTCATGCCTTACCAGTGCAAATAGATGGCTTGTTCAAACAGAGCACATTGTCCATCTTGGTTGTGTCAACAACAGCAATGACACCGCAGTGCTCCCCAATTAATGCCCCCCCCCCCCCCCACAACGGCAGAGCGTCGTGTAGTGCAGCCAATTACACGTGCCCCTGGGGGCGG